AGGGGCAATCAGGTTGGCAGGGGAATGCAGTTAGGGGCATCAGGCAGGCAGAGCCGTTTAGGGACGATCAGGCAGGCAGGCAGAGTGGTAATAGGCAAGCAGTTAGGAACCAGTGGTCCCGGATTGCCAGAGGGATGTGCAACTGCCATTTTAGGCCCGTAGGTATTGGGCCTAAACCAGCAGTCAGACATCCCCCAAGGGATCCCAGATTGGAAAGAGTGCAGGCCAGGCTGAGGGATTCCCCCTTCCTGTGCATGAATTTCATGCACTGGGCTTCTAGTTTATATATAACATATAAAATATATATAGTCAAAAAACAATGTTTCCAAATTTTTGGTGATATAAACAGTGTTATAAACAGTCCGATTAAAATAAGTCATATATGTTTAAAATTGATTTTATATTTAGCTCTTCAAATCATTATAAATTCACCATCCATCATATTATGTTTTATTGATGAGGGGATAAAAGAAAAGGTCTAGAAATGTTTTCTTTTTCTTTTTCTTTTGCTGTGACATAAATACTGATGAAAAGATAAATCTAAGATAGGGAATTATTGGGAATTCGTGTGCTCTTTTTTGTAAATATTAACTTTTAGCAAGTTGTATGCATCCAAATTGTTTTCAGCAGGATACTGGAAAACTGAAGAGATGATAAAGAGGGGAGAAAAAGACTTATAAAGCTCCAGTGTCCATTTGAGGGACTTCAGAATTTCCAAGTTTTTTTTTCCAGGTATCTGAAAGAGCTGAATAGCAGCTGAAGCAACAGAAAATGGAAGGGAAAACAAAGCAGTTAGAGCTACACTATTAAGAAGAGATTGTAAACCCATACCCAAAAATGTTTGCCACCATTATTCTCCATATAATACTGCCAACATGAAGTCACAGAATACAAATCTTTGGTTCACTTTGAAATGAAAGCCACAAATGCAGAGCTAAGCCCCACTTTTGGAGGGACGAAAGGAATAGAATATTTTTCTGAAATTCTTCTTGCTTCAATAAAGGATAATAAGGTCATGCCTAATAAAATGGAAACTGTTGAAATGCAATAATTTGCCAAGAACATCAGTTTGATGTACTTGTTTCAGGGAGAGGAATTCACCATTTAAGAGTAAGGTCTCAAGTGTCCCCCTCACAGATGATCTTCTCTTCTATGCCCAGGAAGAACCCAACTTATCTGAAACTCAGCACTGTGATGGTCCATTTTATCTTACTCATTACAGAGTCTCAGTGTCACCTTATTCCTTCTCAAAGTGTTGAGTTCCTGTTTATTAAGTGGATTCTTACCATCAGACATTTCGGGGAAGCATGTTGAGAGAAGTGAAGTGATCGTTGCAGCTGCCTAACCCAAAACCAGATGTCCATCAGCTGATCATTACTAAATTAGATTGACTCCTATCACAAGTAAGAGAAAAGTGCTTGGTATCCTATATAATAAAGAGGTAATATGCAAATTTACCATCACTCCAACACATAAGATGGCCACCTCCATGTGGACACAATATGTCTGCCACAAGATGGCCAGCAGGGGAGGGAAGTTGGGAGGGACCAGGTCTGCAAGGGAGGACAGTTGGGAGCGATCAGGCATGCAGGGGAGGGCAGTTGGGGGCAACCAGGCCTGCATAGGAGGGGATTTGGGGGTGACCAGGTCAGCAGGGGAGGGCAGTTAGGGGTGACTAGGCCTGAAGGGGAGGGCATTTGGGGGTGACCAGCCTGCAGGGGAGAGCAGTTAGGGGCGACCAACTGGTAAGGGAGAGCAGTTAGGGGTGACCAGGCCAGCAGGGGAGGGCAGTTAGGGGCAATCGGGCCTGCAGGGGAGCAGTTAGGCATCAATCAGGTAGGCAAGGGAGTGGTTAGGGGGTGATCAGGCTTGCAGGTAGAAACACTTAGGGGCAATCAGGCAGGCAGGCAGGCAGGCAAGTGGTTGGGAGCCAGCAGTCCTGGATTGTGAGAGGGATGTCCAACTGCCGATTTAGGCCTGATCCACCCGGGCCTAAACGAGCAGTCGGACATTCCTCGAGGGGTCCCAGATTGGAGAGGGTGCAGGCTGGGTTGAGGGACACCCCCCCACACCCCCTGGGCATGAATTTCATGCACCGGGCATCTAGTGTTTGAATAAAAATCTTTTAAACTTTTTGTTTTTATACATGTTTTTGTTTTTTTAAAATATCAAAGATACATTCTGAATATATAAATCCAGATGATTATTGTTACTTAGCAATAATCAGAGGTTGAATGCTAGGTCCAGACACATTGTGAGTTTGTGCCATATACTCCCAAAAGAGAAAAGTTTCTCCAAAGAAACTGCTTTTGAACTTTGCTATGATTTTATGCAAAGTGTTCACTAACTTATTACAAGTGTTCACTAACTTACATTCATCTGAAATATTTGATTATATGGTTGTTAAAATGTGATATATTAAAATTTATTATAAAATACAGTAATATATTTCTGTAGGGATAGGTGAATTGTCTATGGGAACAGAATAGGGAGCCTAAAGACATATTCATACTGATTTGGAAACCTGATTTATAATAGAGGTAACATTGTAGGTGACATTCTTTGGCTCAAACAATTTCTATAAGATATGCTAGCATAAATATACAAAGGGTGGTGTTGAAGAGTATCTAATATAGCATTAACTATACTAGCAAAATATTAGGAACAATCCAAAGTCTATTAATATAATAATTTAAAAGTAAATAATAACATATTAATTATATATAAAATTATAAATATATAATGAAAAACCATGCAAGCATTTAAAAGAAGAAAATGGAGCAAAGTGGTCCTCTTATACATTGTAGATGGAGCTGATTAATTGGTGCTCTCATTCTGGAAAACAAGTTAGAAACATCTATCACAATTTAAAATATGCAAATCTTATGACCTAGAAATTTCACATATTTAGGATCTGTCTAAGAGAAACACTTGACCATCTTCTGAAGGGAGTGTACTCAGGTTGTAAATTTTTTTGGTGCTCAAAAAACAAGACAAAATTGCAATAAATACATGTCTGTCAGTGGTAATATAGTTAAATAAATCATGGAAGATAGTCAAGCAATTTCTTAAGTATGAGATAGGAAAATTTTCCAGTAATTACAGTAAAACTAACTGATTGTATGATTCCTCCCATAGTTATGATTATAAGATCTGGACCATGTGTTAAAAAAACAGACATAAATGCGTGAAAACATCCCAAAGTAGACAGGAACCACTGGATGTGGACTGGAAGTGGGTGTTGTTGGTACAGTCTTCTCTATTATTTGAATTTGGACCAAGTACAAAATAATTTTTAAAACTGCAAATATTTAGATTCCAATCTGTGTGTGTGTGTGTGTGTGTGTGTGTGTGTGTGTGTGTGTGTATAAAACTTAAAACTTCAACTTTGCCCTAACTGGTTTGGCTCAGTTGAGAGAGCCTTAGCATTGGCCTGCAGCCTGAAGGGTCCCAGTTAAGGGCATGTACCTTAGTTGTGGGCACATCCCCAGTAGAGGGTGTGCAGGAGGCAGCTGATCTATGTTCCTCTCTCATCGATGTTTCTATCTGTCTCCCTTCCTCTCTGTAAAAATCAATAAAATATATTTAAAAAACTAAACAAAAAAACTTGAACTTTAATTCCTACTAAGATTTTAGATTAGGTTAAGTATGTTTCACTTTAAGAATTAAAAGTGCATCTATCATTTTATAGTAGATTATCTTGCTCTATTAGGCTTAAGTATGTATTAATTGATTCAATCACAGCAAGTATTTTATATGTCTAACATGTGCCAGACCATTTTCTAGATGCTGGAGTACACTAGTCAGCAAGACAGGCAAGATCTCCATTTACCTGGGGATATAATGCAATGAACTGTCTTGTTTAATAGACACTTGTAAGCAGAAAGTGTATATTCCCCAAATGCTATCATTTTAGAGGAAAAGGAAATAAAATCAGGAAAATGGATAAGCAGGAATTCTATTTCTGTAAATATATTAAATTCACAAAATATTAACATTTAAGGGAATGTTAGGAGTGTTCAATCATTTTACAAGAACATTTTACTACATATAATATTCTTTTATTAGTTAATTCTTAGGATACTTCAAAAATTTAATCTTCCAGTTTTTTCAGTCATTTTTAAATATCAGTGGGTTATAGAAATGTGATTTCAGAATTTATGTTTGGATTTGTCTTTTATGTTGGCGGGAATTTGTATGAAGGATATTTCAACTTTTGCATAAAAATCACAAGTATATATTGTGAAATGGAATTTATTTAGTTTTCTTTAATTGTGTTGTTAATGGTAATTTTTTACACCATGAACAAATTTTTTAGGGAAGAAGAGTTAGAAAGTTTCCTTGATGTATTCAGTAATTCTTACCATTCTGAAAATTCTTTATTATATATGACTCATTATTAAACCTCTTACTATATTAATTTTTATTGAAACATTTTTTTAAATCCTAATTAAAAAAACCTCTAACTCGGCATGAAGACCAAGTCCAATAGTTTCAACAATCTTAAAAGTACACCTTTTCCAACAACTTTCTCTAATTTCAGAAAATTGTTTATTGCTCCCTTATTCTTTGCCCTACTAAACCCTATACATGATGCAATTATGCTGCTTTTCTCTACTGTATATTTCTTTTGTGTTTTGCATCTGTTTATTTACATGGTCTTTATGGATGATTGATCTGTATATTCTTTAAGAACTGGAATTTTATACTATTTTATATATTTTTAAATCACTCTAGCCAAACTTACGGTATTTCTTCAATAACTGAATAACATCAACTATGAAATTGTAATGATTTATCTTCTTATCTTAGATAATAGCCCAGGAATAGTGACTACATTGTCTCTCAGTTTAAAGCACTACTTGATTTTCTAAGTCATCATCTAAGATGGTTTCTCCAGTGGCCTTCAATGACATAATATTCTTTATCCCTCAACTAAGTGTAATTTTTTCTGTCTCTCTCTCTCTCTCTCTCTCTTAAAAAAAAAAAAATATTGACAGCTTGATCAAGTCATCCGCCAAAGAAGCCTGTCCAGTTTGGAACTGTTCCTCTCCTGTGCTCAGAAACAGCTAAGTGCTTTGATAGCTACGGAACCAGTTGACATTGAGTAAAGAGGACATGACAAGCTAACCCACACTGGCAATGGATAAATCATTAGACCTCTCCAATAATACATGCAGTGAATTACAAAGATGCTTTTGTTTTCTTTCCAAGCCTTGGATAATTGATTTCCACTTCAACGATAAACCAAAACAATATTTAGAATGATCAAGAGATGTAACTTATTTTCTTTTGTTTACTCCTTTACCTTTACTACTATTTTGGTAGCAGCAGCAACAGCAACAGCAGCAGCAACAGAATGTGTAATGTGACTCAAAAGCCATTGAAAATTTCCTCATTACCAAAAGTTAATTAGAAACTTATAGCCTCTGGCCTGTTATATTGTATTTGGCAGAAGCAGTAAATATATTTACTTATTGCTTGACAGTGACTCTTGAATGTAATCATGCATTTATTTGATTTTGAGGATAAAAACAGCTTAGATTTCAACATCTCCTTCTGACATTACCACAGTTCTTTTCTGTAGAGGGATCTATTTTTGTTGGTAACAGTTGAAAACACTAAAGATCATTATATTAATTTCACTTTGATCTAATGTACCACTTAAAGGAGTATGTGTATGATATATGCTTTGTTCCTGTTTCTATTCTTCAAAGTCACTGTGAATCAATAAATTCATTTTCAAATGAATCATATAATGAACTTAATCTCTAGAAAGGGAATGTAACATAACCATTTACATGAAGTCAGGTTCATATAAGAGATATGAAATTCTTGCCCAGAATTTCAGGATGTGCTTAATTCATGAGCAGTGTGCTTCAATGCAGAATCATGAGAGGTTTGTTTTTGTTTTTGTTTTTGTTTTTGTTTTTTTAACACCAAAACTAAATGTCATTAAAATTATGCAAGCAATTTCTTTTGTTTTTGAAATGCTTTTACTTTTGTGGGCTTTGTAATTTTATGGGATTCATTAGTGTAATAAAAAGAGCTTTAGAAACCTATTTGGTCATTTTTTTGCCTTTTTAAGTTAATTCTTCCTTTAAAAAAAAATTCTTACTTAAACTTATATACCCATGGATGATAATTTTTTAACATACACCTTAAATCAGGCATGTCAAACAAAACGAATATTTTTGCGGTCCAGCCAATATCACGGTATGTAAGAAATCCTTTAATAAAAATTTCATAACTTAATTTTTATAATATCCAGTTATACATAATTATTAATAATGAACTACAACTAATGCCTAATTACTATAATCGTGTTGCATTCATTTCCCTTATGCGCCTTACACACAGGCACACCATTTCTCTCCACTAATACTAGCAGCACATATTTTAGCTGCTGATTGCCAGGTCATTAGTCTTGTACTAACTTGTGGGGTGTGTGCAACAGGAAATGTTTCACTTTTGGAGAATAAGAAAAGTAGGTTTATTTGTGTTATGCTTATTAATTTGTGAAGTTTCTCGGTGTCTGGTAAGTTAATGTTCAAGAAAAAATATTAATTTTTATTAAAATGTTCTATTATTTTATATTAACGATTACTCGTTTATTTCAGTCCTTTGTATTTAGCATGTCTTCACTGAAATAAACCTACATTTCCATGAAGATTGAATCTTTTATTTTTTTTTATTTTTTGCGGCCCACATAAACTTAAACCTTGTTTATTTGGCCTGTGTTAGCCTTTCAGTTTGACATGCTTGCCCTAAATATTTACAAAAACTCTTCAAATGTGAATAACTAGTTTTCTCTTACAAATTTAAATGAGGAATTAAGGCAAGCAGGCCACTGACTTGAATTGCAGTATAGAAATAATAGGAGAGGCACCTGGCTGGCATGGCTCAGTGGTTGAGCTAAACCTATGAACCAGAGGCCTCAGTTCGATTCCCGGTCTGGGCACATGCCTCGGTTATTCGCTCAATTAGGGCATGCAGGAAGCAGCCCATCAATGATTCTTTCACATTATTGATGTTTCTATCTCTCCCTCTTCGTCTGTCTCTGAAATCAATAAAAATATATTTTAAAAAAATATGGGAGAGGCTTTTAACTTTGGAACAAGCCAATGACACAATGTTATGGTCATATTTAAAACCACTTGACTATTTGTCATCAAATTTAAAATGATAGGGTATTTTATAACTTAACTCAGAGATGATTTATATGAAAATGAAGCATTGAAGGTCACAAACTAAGGTCCAGAGATAATGGAAACATCAAGAGAATATAATAGTCCACACCTCTCTTTCATCCCTATCACCACAGAAAGATTTTTTTCTTCCATTTAAGCTTCCAACTTCACTGTTGACATAGACTAATTGTTGTCTGAAGTAATTTGGAACAAATTAATACCAATCAGTCTCTGAGTATTTGCAGAACACCCACCGTGCACAATAATAAACTCTTGGGTTGCTTAGTGCTTGGTTTCCCACAGAGCTGCCCTTAAAGATAACTGAGAATTATCATCTGGGCTTAGAATGTTTGAATACATTAATCATTCCAAACCAAATTAGCTAATGTTTCAGTGATGTTCAGAGATTGCCACATTCAGAACTGAAGTCACTTTTTGCTCTGGTTATCTGACCACCTCAGGTAGTATTCACTAAAAGAATTGGGTGACTAATGTATGCTATGACCAGAGGTAAGTTTTTTCCTGCAATGTGGGCTCAAAGTCTTAAAGCAAAGTAGTCAAATGTTTTGTATATAAAACTTTCTTTGCCTATTGCATGATTTCCTTAACTCTTTGTATGTAACATTTCCTACTGTTATGTTTAGGTGAAGAAGCCATTCAGTTTTTTGAGCGAGAAAGCCAGTCTCAAATTGTGACTCGTTTTTTGGTAGCTTGCTTAAGGATTCATTAATAAAAATGTTATTTCCCCCACCAAAAAATGAGTATTTGCTTTATGCCAAGTATTTTCACATGTTGTCTCAACAACCCTGAGAAGTTAAAATAGCCTTGTGAAATAGATGATATTCAGCACTTATGACTGAAGAGGATTAGATGTTTACTTGCCCATGATGATAGGGTGGAGCTGGGATTCAACCCCAGAGCTTTCAACACTCAGTTTTACTCTTTCTAGTACTCTGGAGACACCTAATATTTTCTCCAAGAGAAAATATCTCACAGTTTCTATCTCATGTAGTCTTTTATCACATGAATCTCTTAAGAGAAGAATATGCCCCTCCTCCTTATAAGTTTAGTTGGAATTCTAGGTCTGCCACATGCTAATTGTGGGACATTGGACACATTGCCTAACCAATTTGCGTCTCAATTTTCTAGTTTGTGATGTGGAAATAGTGACTTTTATAGGCTTTTTGTACAAATTAAATTAAGCCTGTAAAATACTTCACATGGTAGACCTCGCTGGTGTGGCTACCAGTTCACAGTAATTCCCCTTTCTCTGGGAATTACCCACAAAGTACAGGTGTGGTAGCCCACTAACAACTGGCTAAACAGTATAATTCTGCCCCTCTGACCTTGATTTACCAATTCACAGATGAAGGTCTGATCCCAACTGGGCCTCTTGACATATGCTAAGACTCTCCAACTACTTTCCCCTAGGGAGACAGAAAGGAACTCTGAGGTCAGAAGTCTCTTGATCCCTGTCTTTCCTGAGTCTTGAATTCTATTAGATAACCAAATATTCTTCTAATATGCCAGCACCACTTACTTTTTCTCCCTAAGTTCGCCAGAGCCAGTTTCTATTTCGTGCAACCGAAAAAATATTAACCAAGGCAATCCAGCACAGAGCACATGTAATCCCTGGATCTTCAGCACTTGTTAAGTTCTTTGTTTTCTCCACCATACTAATCCACATCCAAAATGTGAACACTCTGATTTATTTTAAGGAATGTTAAAAATATAAATGAAACGAAGCCCCTATTGTCTAGCAATGCCAAGTAAATCACAGATACCTAAAACTATGAACAAACAGTGCCCTAGTTTGAAGTTTTCTGTCACTTAGAATCTGGAGCAGAGGTTTAAACTCAGCTTTGCTAAATGCTGACTCATGTTCCAATTCAAGGGAGTCTTGCTCAAGATTGCTTTGAAATCAAAACCAGAACAATGTCCTTATGATTGGTGTTATTCTGCACTAGTCAAGTATCTATAATTATAGCTTTATTTTTAATCTGACAGTTAAACTGAATGGAATCAGGAAATGCTATCTATGTTTTAAGTAATAAAACACAAAGTAATTAATTCATTCACTAAATTATAAAGGTATTCTTTGCAAAAAATAAAATATGAATTTAGGGAAAAAAACATATGTAAGGACCTGGAAAACATAAAACTCCAAGAGAAGCAGGAGAGTTGGATCAAAGCACTTAACCCAAGTCTTCTGTTTATAGACCAGTTAAACACTCCACTGTGTTTCCAAAGACTCTACTAAAGGAGCAGAAAGCCAATATGCTCTGAATCCGCACTCACTTGTAGGCATCACCAGCAGCATCACACTGAGGGGGTAGAAGCAATATATGAAAATTTACAGCTGTGACTGACTTCCAGAACTTTCTAAAATCCAGGCAGAACAAAAACTGCTCCCATTATTTAATTGAAAAACAAACACATTGCATACACCCAACTGCCATAATGCAGGAACTACATGAGCATAAATCATTGGTACATGTAAATAAAAGAAAAATAGTTGGTAAAATTTTATTTGCTTTTGTCTAGTTTTGTTTTCTTTTTCCCTGAAGCATCCATTCTCAAAAAGTTACTTGCCTTTATATTCCCTCTTTCCCTTCCGCAGGGATTACATACTAGGATTTTTCTAAGGAATACTTATAGAATTTAATATCTTGTGTTATTTATCATTTATAATTAGTAATTCATGTTCTTGTTTAGATCTATCTCCTCCTGAAGGAAGAGCCCGCATTTGGTTTGATTATTGTATCCTAAAGGAAGTTTGCTGTGTCTAGCCTGTGATGTGGACTTAGTATATAACTGTGAGTTCACAAATAATTGAATTAATCAATCATTGTACCTCTTTATAACTCAACTAATCTCCAGCTAATAGTTCTTACTACTAATTTAAAGAAATAGTTAAGACT